TTTTTTCTTCAGAAAATTGCATTGTAATTTTTATTTATTCATTGATGTAAAATCCTGTACTTTTTAGTAAGGCCGGTATAACTGAAATGTTCTACAAATGGAAAAGATAGTTCTGCCATAGCATTTCAGTCTTTTTTTTAAATTAAAATGTACTTGAGTATGTTTGTAGTAATACAAATATACTATAAACATACTTGTATTTCAAGTGCATTTTTAATACATTTAATAGTATGTTTGTTTTGTTTTTCACCAAAGTATGTATGCTGCTGTCCTTTTTTAGTGTACTTTATGAATATTTGTAATGTACAAAACAATATATAATACATTAAAGTTTTCTAGATATCAAAGTGTGTATGTGTGTGTATGTGTGTGTATATACTGAAAAAAGCAGCTTTATAATATACTAGTAGTGTAATGCTAATGCATTTCCAATGAGCTGAAATACAATTGAAATGTACTTGAAGTACATTAAAACGATGCTTCAAATATACTCTAACTGTAGTTCATGAAGTATTAAAAGGACATTTTAAATGTATTTTAAGAAATACACTTAAATTGCACTAAATATACTTTAAGTGGTTCCAATTTAACACAATTTCAATATATTAAATAGATTACAAATAGATTAAAATCAAACTTAAACATATCTTGAAATACACTTAATATACTTAAAGTTGTTTCAAAATAACACATTTAATATGCACTTTGTATAGTATAATTTAAATATAGTAAGTATGTCTGAAAAAGCACAATTTAAATATATTTCTTTTTCACCTGGGTCATTTGTGTGTCAGCTTCCTTAGAGGTGCAGCAACATCACTAAAATTTGGGATAAACTTCCCCAGGTAATTTGCCATTCCAAGGAAGCACTGCAATGCTGGAACATCCTTGGGAGCTGGCATCTCAGAGATTGCTTTTGTTTTTGAAGGATCCACCTTCAAGCCTTCGTTAGTGAAGGCCTACATAGCTGAATTGGTCCAGACGGAATTTGCATTTGGCAGGGTTTAGTTTGAGCTTGACCCAGAGTGCTCGATTCAGCACTTTTTTCAAATTAACGTCATGTTCTGCAGCATCACAGCTTCCGATGATGATGTCGTCGACAATGATAGCACAGGGGTCTCCTGAAAACAGCTGTTCCATTGAGCGCTGGAACACTTCACTTGCAGAGTTTATGCCAAAAGGCATACGAAGAAATCTAAAGCGCCCAAATGGAGTGCTGAATGTAGTCATCATAGAGGACTTGCGGTCAAGACATATCTGCCAGAAAGAGATATTTGCGTCCAGGACAGAAAATACAGTTGCCCCCGACATCTGGGATGCTACTTCCTCTACGCTGCGCATTGGGTGATGGGGTCTCTTTAAGGCAGTGTTGAAATCTTTAGGATTTATGCACAGTCTGATTTATTGTCTGTCCTTTTTATGTGTCATGACCATGGACGAAATCCAGTCTGTTGGTTCCGAGACTGGTGTTATGACACCCAAACTCTGCATGTGGTCCAGCTCTGCTTTAACACGGTCCTACATTGCCAGTGGAATGCGATGTGCAGGGCGAACTACAGGTTGCACGCTTGGGTCTACTGTCATGGAGTATGTGATTGGACGTTCTCCAAGTTCATCAGTGAACAAGTCTTTGTATTCTTTGAGGATTTGTTCAGTATTGCTCTCCATACTGTCCAGATGAACATGTGGGCTCATCGTGACAATCCCCATGTCTAAACATGCATGAAATCCTAACAGTGGTTGGAAATCTTGATCCATCAAGGAAAATGGGAGTGAGTGACTTTGTCCTTTTAAACTACACAGCAGTGTAACTAAACCTTTTGTTTCAATTCTACCCCCACCATAAGTCACAAGGTTAGGCATGCTTTCTTGCTCCACTGGTTGTACATTGTTGGCAATTCACTTGAATGTTGTTTGCGACATTACGTTACACTTTGCCCCAGTGTCGACTTTCACCTTAATTGGAGTTTTGTTTATGTGCAAAGTGACAAATCCCTCTTCCTGCTCAGCCATGAAAGAGTTAACAGTGTCAACACACCTATCAAATTCAATGCCATCAACATAGAAAGTGTAATCATATACAGGGGGCTTGTCCATTTCAAGTTCATGTACCGTCTTTTTGAAGTTTGCTTTCTTTGGTCCAAACTGATAACGCAATCTGCAACATTTTTTGAAATGATTAATTTTCTTGCAGTTGTTGCACAGCTGTCCAAAAGCCGGGCTTTTTCTTTCTTTGCCACGTGATTGTTTCGGCAGTTTTTGCAATTCGTTATGGTGGGTGAATCATTCTGTTCTGTTTTGGGCTTTTGTCTTGTGTACTGGTGGAAATTGGATGTACTGCATCCACGTAAGTGGGCGTCTGTGGTGTAGGGATTGTCTTAATATGAACAGACATTGATATCACTATTCACAAGGTTCGCTATTTCATGAGCACATGAATCCCATATTCTCGGTTGATTTCCTGTCAGTATGGTAAACTCATCTACTCATGAGATCGAAACTAATTCGATCAGGAGACGACAAAGCTTTCTTGGTCTCAAGAACTGAAAGAGTTCATTCACAACCTATGGAAGCCCCCATGTCTTGGGACCCACCAATGGATGGAACCATTGTGTCCAGAACAGGAAAAGAATTAAATGGTGCCCTCAGGCAAGCACAGGATATACCGCATGACGCCACATGACTATCCCATGTTAACCACCTGCTTCCGGCATGACCGAAACCCTTACTTTCCTGTGCCACAGACAAAGAAACAGAACATTGTATCTATTTTAAAAGACAAATTGTTTAAAACGTATAAGTAGTGAAAATGTAGCCACTGTATGTGTTATAAAACTAACAAATTTGGAATGGTTTGATCAGGTGGACTTGGGACATTCAGACCCGAGTTCTAGCAAAACCTGAATAAATTAATAATCATTAATTCCCTATAATTACAAATTAATAATGAATAAATAAATGATAATGTCATTACAGTGGCATCGCCAATGTTTTATTATTTTAACAGTGCTTAACAGTGCTTTCCTTAAGCTTTCACTGCTGATGCTATCCTGTCACAGATTAGCTCGTCTGTCAATTCTCCGAAATGGCATGCTTTTGCTTTAATTCTGAGATCACTGATAAATGACTCAATAGTCTCACCTTGTTTCCGGTTTCTGGAGTGAAACTTGTGTCTTTCCATGGTTTTGTTTTGTTGTGGGTTGCAAATTTCATGAAACTTCCCTTTCAGGCATTCGGGATCCTCTCTTGATTCAGCGGGAGTTAAAACAGTGCGTAGACGAACGAACGCTCTCATTCTATGGCCTCCGGCCCTGCGAGATTGAGGAGGATTTAGGCCCTTGTCTTGGCAGGCTTATTATCGTGGTGTGCCACCGCGATGAAAATGTCATACTCCTGCTCGAAGATTTGCCAGTTGTCGGCAACATTCCCTTCAAATGAGAAGGGACAGGTCAGGTCAGGTCTCCGAAAACAATCTACAAAGACTAGAGCCATAGTCATTCATTATGCGGCCTTGAGAAAAACTTTTACGAGCGGTCTCTGTTTTCTACAAAAATGGTTCACTCGCAGGCAAAAAGTCCATGCCGTCTTCTGACACCATGTTGTAGGCTATGTCCCAAGAATTAACACGGTGACAGACACCCACGTGTGAACATGGAATTGTATTAACAATTCACAAGCACGACATTAACACAGCGCTCACGTGTTCCTCGTATATATGCCCAATGAGGGGAGCATGTTCTTGAAAAGCCCAACACATTTAGAGTGCAACACATTAGAATACACAAATCACATTGTATTTCTGAACATATCATTTATCAGAATGATCTACAATCAGCATAGCAGTGATATGAAAAGCTATGTTTCTGAATGACAAAGCCTAGTGATGCCATGTAGACTGAGAAGAGAAGTGGTCCAAGAACTGAGCCCTGAGGTACCTCTCCATGGTAACATTGAAGGACCTATCTGAGAGGTAAGACTCAAACCACTGGAGTGCGGTTCCTGAGATGCCCTTTGCCAATAGGGTTGACAGGAGGATCTGGTGGTTAACCGTGTCAAAAGCAGTGGACAGATCCAGCAAGATAAGTATTGAAGATTTGGAATCCGCTCTTGCCAGTCTTAGGGCTTCAACAACTGAGAGCAAGGCAGTCTCGTTTCAATGTCCACATCTGAAACCAGACTGTTCATTTACATTTGTTTCTATACTTTACGGTGTAACATATTAGCAAGTATTTTATTTCACGTTAAGAGTAGATCTCTCATTAGTGCATGATTAGACCCAAGTAAAGATGCCAGAAAACATAGGGAAACTGCATGAAAAGTCAGTAAAATCACTAACTAAATTGTAAACTGAGATCCTGCTACATCTGCTACATAGAATAATTTTTCTTGCAAACTTACTGCAAAGTGTCTCTAGAAGGTTTTGGGTCCTCTGTACGTGTAATTTCCACAGATCTCACAGTTGTAATTGATGTTCAGGCCGTGCAGCTTGTACAGCCAGTATGGAATTGGCTAAAGACAAACTAAAGACCAGGTTAATGACACACTATAAGCGTTTTAACACTAGAGCTGTGTGATACTGAATGTGTGAAATAGTAAAGAGTTAAAATAGTTTAAAATACAACAGCAACAAAAACAGATGTTATTTACTAAGGCCCAGCCTTAATGATCACTACTGTTAATTATGTTTTGGAGGGACTGGAATCATCTCAATGTCTAATTTGAGTAAAAAAAAAACTTTTCTGATTCAATCCCTAAAGAACACTGTAAATAACTACAATAAATCTAAATGCACCTTTCCGTCCCAGCCGAGTGTTAGGTTTTTGGGGTTGTATATGATCTCATTATCTTCGTCTTCACTCTCACTCTCGCTGGGCTGCTCTTCATCCTCCTCGTCACGCTCCTCTCCTGTGCGCGCCTGCTTCCTCTGGACGTTCTCATGGGTCAGCTGCCTTTGCTCCTGCAGCACACAACGAAACACACCAGCTTCAGCAACATCACTGCACACAATTCACACCAACGGCACCAAACCAAAACTACTCGTTAGAGAAAACACTAAAATACATACTGAAGGGGATTTACTTAAAAATAACAAAAAGTAAACTAGATCTGAGAACACAATGCATGAGATACAGTTTCCCACAATTAAATGTGCTTGAATTTTCTGTTTCTAATGGAACAAATAAACAGAATGTTTATAATTTATCCCCTGACATCAATGTTTAACATCTTTTCTTGGCTCATTACTTGATAGGACATATGTAAATTTAGATTAAAAAAATAAATAAATATATATATATATATATTTATGACGGCCCATCACCTTCAACTCAACCTGGCTAAGACAGAACTGCTTGTGGTTTCAACAAACCTATCACAAAATTTATTTATCAAATAGACAACAATAATCAGATGTTATCATGATAATTTACAATAATTATGTAATGCTTGTGAACAAGGCAGAATTTACTAAAATATACAATAATAATAATAATAATAATAATAAGGAATTTCAAGGAATCATTTCAGGGATATCACCTTTTCTCTTACTCATTGTGACAGAAGCATGGTACTATGATGGCATGTGTCTAATGGTAAGACTATATTTAATTGTGCATCATAAGCCTTGTTTTAACATCTGCTAAATGTCTCCATGTAAATTTAAATCTATCTTTTGAAGGTACTTCAAAGAAAACAATGGTATTGTCAAAATAAGAAACACGGAGTTCCCTCCTCAAAAAGAGCATCTGTGTTTTATGAGCTCAAAACGACCGAAACATTAGTCAGTCGTAACAACTACATATTGCAGTAATAAAGATACTCATAAATACAGGCTGAGAGAAAGGAAATGGTCAAGACAACTAAATTATAAATATTTTGGTGCAATATCCCTTGAGTAACATTATAAGCAGACTGACATCATAAACAAACATGTCTAAACTTACAAAACAGAAATAAATGGAAATATACTGGAAAATATAATGCAATATATTAATACATTCCCATATATAGGAAATTGGTGCTTATGTTTTTCAATATGCTGCAATATATGAATGGACCATATATGGCTGTATATTGATACATATAAACATACTTATGTAGCAATGAAGAAAATGTAACTACATTTTTACATGTAATAGCTTTAATGAAACTCAATTAATTTCTCAAGAATTAAAGAGTTAATGCTTGATTTTACATAAAGCTGAACACATATTATCTCACTTTATTGTTTGCATAGATCCACATTTGGTACATAAAAATATGTATGATGGTATATAAAAAAAATACCTGAAAGATTTACTGAAACAAATATTAGAAGTTTTGTCATTTTGGACGATTGGATGCCTTGTTAAAGTCATGGCAACATTTATAACGTAATCAATTGTGTGCTTTATGTACTATGAATAAATACAAATACATGGACATGTATGACAATATATATTTTCCTCATAACGGAGTACAAATAATTGTACATGCATGTTCCCAAATGTGAATATATATGGTACATGTATGTTCAAATATATCTACACACACAGTACCATATTTTATTACATGTACATCTATATTTGATGAATGATGTTATTGAATATAAAATTGCATATATTACTATATATAAGTAAATATTTTCACATATTTTTCAATGAAAAGCAGCAAATTCTTATTACTCTATTGGAATATATTAACACAATATATTATTCAGTACATTTTCTATATACAACAAATACTTTAATATATTGTTTGTTAATATATGAGAAAATATTTTCTTTGCGTAAGGGTAAAATGTTCTGTTTAATGCAGTTTACAGTAGACTGTCACACCAACGATCTACTGTGAATAAAAGTGTCACTAATACAAATAACTTAGCACTATCTTTAACCACAGTTTACGCAGTATCTTCAGCATATATCATCTTTGAATGTGTTTAAAGATGAAAAATGTTGAAGATACTGCATACAAACGGAGGATCTCGAAAGGATGGTCAGATGTTCAGCTGGCATCTCGGCTTTGTTGTTTCCTCCAATAAAGTCTGATTTTGGCATCTGGAGCTCTGTGATTTGAGTAATTTGTGCAAAGAAGAGAAGACTTTTCTCCACAGCAGGATCAGTTCTCTGAAAGATGACTGCTCTCAGTCTCCTGGAAGCTATCAATGACAGTATTAACTGCTTCGCTGAATGAGCTGCTCTGAGCATTAGAGCATGAGTTGAACTTTGCTCACTTTTGTCAAATGGCTGAAGTCCCTACTTTAACTGAACTTGAGTTTATTTGTTGCTGCAAATAGCAGTTTGAATGCCAATTTCTGCTTTACATTAATTCATGATTGCAGAATAATGATAACAGTAATTACATATGCCCTGTGCATGTCTAAGGACTTCATGTCTAGCCTAAATTTAATATAACCTAATAATGATCTCTAAACTCTCTGGAGAAATGCTGTTAAAGAAGAACACTTTACATGATAATTTTGTAATTTTATGTAATTTGTCTCAGGTTTGCTGTTTTTAATGTCTCCTCCAG